ACGAAATTGTTTTCTATTTGTTGTGCAGCCAATAGAATGCTTACTTTTCTAATGTAACGTGGCCTTTATTAGGTATAAGGGATATGACATGCTTTTAGTGTCTACAGAATAGAGTATTCAATTGTTATCAGCATTAAAAGTTGGACTACATTTGTAGAATAAATGCCAGCAACATTTTCTACTTTGTGTAAAAAGGTGGTTTGGTTAATTACTGGGAACTTGAATGGAAGACATCTGTGAATATGTGTTTGTAAAATAAAAAAACCTGTCAAATAAACTTTTTGTTGAACGACAGAACTGAGTGAGCAGTGACTTGAGCATCCAACACTACACAGATAAGTCTGGTTTAAACGTTAAGTTGTATTTTATGATAAATGAATTGAGTTTTAATAAATCCAGCTCAGGAATGATGGACTCTGCCACTACCTATGAACACTACTATATACAGAGAGGAAGTCACTGCATTTAATTAATAAATATCTATCTTTGACAACTATAAATAGTATGAAAAATGCAGTTTCATTTAATAAAATCTCCTGGTTTATAATTATTTGACCTCAGCTCTATCGAGGGATGGGTGAAATGGCTAAAATCAACTATACCCATTATAGGTAATTTCATCCCCATAAGTATAAGGCGTTTAACAATACCAACAACTCAAGGTATGATAATATAAGGAGAACAAGTCAATGATATTTGTCAAGATTAGAAAAATAAATTAAGATCCTTCATAAATGTATGAATCTGATGCATCAACATTTGCATTAATTGTTTAATAATTAACTTGAAAGGCGTCCATTTTCCTTCTTTGAGTTTATTTCTTTAAGATCCCTGATATAAAGTTATCTGCACTTTTAAATGTAGAGTTAACTCACAATGAGGTCCTCTTGTGAGAAATACAATCAGTTCCCAGTTTTATTTTGTACATATAGATCAAACTAATGCTAAATAATACACCAGTCATGCAATAAATATAATGGGCATCAATGAGGATAGATAACAGAAAAAGGTCAAAAGTAGTCACATATCTAAAATGCTCTTATTTTACTTTACATTGTATATTACTATATTCAAATACTAGATTGATCTTGACTTGGTGAAAGAGGTTAAAAATATCTGTGTCCAATAAACTAAACTGTTCTGGTTAAAGTATAGCTGAGACAGTTTCAACACAAATGATAAAAGATAACAACACTTTTCACATATCTCACTCTCCCCACTGTTAGCACCACCTTTGCTCCATTTTAACCTGAAGAGTCGCTGGTATTTCACAACACCTGTGTGAATCAGAGGGAGGGAACACAACCAGCTGCAGTGAGAGGAGGAGCTACAGTGGAAAGAGGAGAGCTTCACGTCACACTCAGGAAATGAAAGTTATGTTAGTCAGAGAGGCAGCCACACTGCAGTCGAGACTAGTCTCTGTTTCTGTCTAAAGAAAATACAAACTGAGTTCATCAGATCTTTCTCAGCAACACAGCAGAGTCTCTGTCAAACACTGGTGAGTACATCTGATTATATTTACACTTTCAACAAAATATGATATAAGTATGGTGTTGTTTGTCCTCAGGCCTACGGTTCAGTCCTCTGGATTGAACTAACCTGTAACTGAATCTCTGCGGTTAGGAGTTTATCCTCATTCCTGGTTTCCTGCCATTATTACTGTTTACTGATTACTTCCTACATACTGCTTACTCTTTTTTGTAGAGGTGTGTCATATTAAAAGCTTACCACCAAAGAACCAGTTTGAGGTTTAAAATGTGAAGCAGATAGGTGTGTCACAAAGTACTGAGAGCTTTGTTATCAGTGTTATTCTTTAATATAAGTTGGGTCTACACTAGGGCTAAGGATGTTATCAATATTATATCATCATCTGGATATTAGACTAGATATAGTGTCAGATCTTTCCGAATTACTAAAATTGCAAAAGTGTCATTTCCTGCTTTTAAAGGCTGCATTACAGTAAAGTGATGTAACTTTCTTAAACTTCCAGACGGTTCAAACCATTTGCTTTTTCTGATTATCCATCAAAAATGTTATTGTGTAAATATTTTGTGCACAAATAGTTAATCTACAATATCGTTAGAGATGTTGGGGTGAAACATTTTGTGATGTTTTATATTCTCCATATCGCCCAGCCGTAGTCTAAACAACAGGATAAGGAAACATCCATTGCTGTTTTGCCATGGTAGCTATCTTGAACTTATTATGTCTTGAATGTTAACGGTTTGAGAATGAGTTCTTATTTTATTTAATGTATTTGGTTCTACAACAGATGATACAAATGTATATGTCAGTAAATGTGTACTAACAGATGCGGGGGTGTTTGTGAAAACAACGGGGACATGAGCTGCTGTCAGACATCAGCTGTGCGGTGTCATCACAAACGGACGTCGCTTCACGTGACGCTCCGGAGGAAAGGACGTCCCATTGCTCTTAAAACTCATTTCCCTGCTTCTCGTTGTTTCCTTGCGTCTCTCCATGCTTCCCTGGTGGGAGGGACTAAACGCAGGGAAACAACGCAAGTGAGGGACGCAAGGATTCCATTTAACCGACCTGAGACGCAGCCATAGAGTGCCACAGTGACGCGTCCTAAAACCCCGGAACTCCTTCTGGTTCCTTCGACAAAAACCAATGCAATTTCTCCATAGGATTTTGGAAAATAGCTCGAAATAAGCTCTGTGGTTGACACAAATTGATGAGACAGATCACGTTTTGTTCAGCCGGATGATATCCACATGTCTAACCTACTTTTATAATTTTCGAATCATAAATCTAATCGATAGATTTATGATTAGAAAAGGAAGGAACAGGAAGTGGTAAAATGCTAACTTACTTCCGGTTTTAGGACGCGTCACTGTTGCACTCTATAGGGGGGATAATCGGGCAGTTCGATGTGTGTAGGGGTGTGTGGGTGTGTGTGATTAAAACGTAGAAGCCTGCAGTCACTCTTAAACTGTTCTAATGAAGGTAAACACAGTGAAGGCGGTGCGTAAAAGGGCACAGCTCTTTACGCGCTGGTGCTGCACTTCTCAGAGGCTGCTGAGTTACACGTCCCACTGCCTCCTGACGCTGCAGCCATTTCATGAAGTGAAGGAGGTTTTCCTTCTATAAAACAGCTGTGGGAAACAGATACTGTGAATGTCACGGACGTGAATTCATGGATCAAGGCAGACTCTCCTGTTTTGCCAATCCGGTGCTTAAACAAATAGCTCTACACCCCTGGCCGAAATGTCCTTAAAATGAAGTCTGAGTTCGAAATATATCTCAAATAATGTATGCACTGCCATTTCCCCACATAAACATAAGAGTCTGCAATGAAACTGTTGTCTCCTGTGTGCTCCACTTCCTACTTGGCGCACCGGTAACTTTCTTGTACGAGGTTGAAACCTTAGGCTGAGCCGCCGAATCCCTCGGAACATCATAAAAGCCATTTTCAACTGTTTTCTGTTGGAAGTTTAACTAGGCTACAGCATTCACTGGATTATCCGTAAACTATTCGAACAAAAAAACGACACCGGTTTTTAGATTTCATATTCGGTTTTGAAACGGAAAAACCAAAAAACGAACCATACACGGATTCTGCCGCTAAAAGAAACCAATTTCGATTTATTTTTTATGTTTTGTATGACTGTTATAGGTGCGAAAATGTAAAAAATATATTATGAAAAAATATTTTTATATATTTATAATTCTGCAAATATTACGATAAACTCACAGCTATTTTGCGGCCCGGCAGAAACACCGCCCGTAACACCTGTAACTGAATATCTGCGGTTAGGAGTTTAACCTCATTCCTGGTTTCTGGCCATTATTACTGTTTACTGATTACTTCCTACATACTGCTTACTCTTTTTTTGTATAGGTTTGTCATATTAAAAGCTTAAATACCTGTCTATGCTGCCCCAGAACGCCTCGTTGGAGATTTCTCTTTTTCCATTGTTTTCTTCCTGGGTATGGTGACATGCCCATACCCAAATGGACCCATTGGTCCAAATGGACCAATCCGTGGAGCCGTTACGTCCGTGGAGCCGTTACGTTAAGTCCGTGGATTGGTCAAAATGTACCAATCCGCTGACTTCCTCACACACACACTCAATCTTTTCTCAGCTGCAGCTCTGCCGATTTCTCCTCCCTGAGACGGCGGGACGCGGCGAGGCTGTGAGTCGGTGTGTGAGCACACACACAAACTCCCAGCCAGGCTGCGGGTGTCGGGCTGGGTTTAGCTGTGTCTCGCTGTCTCGCAGACGGCCACTGGCCTCATAGGGAGGGGGGGCAGGAGCTCCAACAAGCCGTTTAGGACAGAGAGTGAATACACATACTATACAGAGATGCTGTATGAGAAACCAATGTGATTTTGGAAAATTGCACAATATAAATATATTTTAGTAGACCTCAACAATGGAATTATGATCAGTAGAAATGGCCATGACATGGGACCTTTAATATGAATTGGTCTACATTAGGGCTAATGTATTTATAAATGTCATATCATTATCTGGATACAACTCTGGATATAGTCTTAGATTTCAGTAAAACTGCATGAGTGTCATTTCCTGGTTTAAAGTCTGCATTACAGTAAAGTGATGTCATGTTCTTAAATTACCAGACTGTTCTATCCGTTTAATTATTTGTGTTGACCCACTTGGTCATTATATCACCATTGATTATTATGATGATTATTTATAAAAAATATACACGTGAAAAAACTTTGTGCACAAATAGTAAAGCCCAGAATATGCCTTAGTATGCATTTAGTGAAAAAACGTTGTGATGTTTTATATTCTCCATATCGCCAAGTCCTAGTCAAAAACAGGTTTATGGACATATTCATTGCGTATTGCCATGGTAGCTATCTTGAACTTATTATCATGAGTTGAATGGTTAGATGTGCATAGTGCAAGTCAAAAGAAAGCATATACAATAAAATCCCACATGTTTTTTTTCAACAAAATAACTCTATTTTAAATAAAATGTTCTTCTTCCACACAACAGACGTAGATATGGCTGCAGCAAGCTACCTGCAATCTGAAGATCAGTTTCTCTGCTCCATCTGTCTGGATGTGTTCACTGATCCAGTCAGCACATCATGTGGACACAACTTCTGTAAAGACTGCATCACTGAACACTGGGATAGAAGTGACAGGTGCCAGTGTCCCATGTGTAAAAAAGAGTTCAACACAAGACCTGAGCTGCACGTTAACACTTTCATCTCTGAGATGGTAGCTCAGTTCAGACAGTCGGCTCAACAGAAAGCCAGCAGCAGCAGCAGCTCAGAGCAACAAGTCTTCAAACCAGGAGAAGTTCCCTGTGACGTCTGCACTGAAACCAAACTGAAGGCCCTGAAGTCCTGCCTGGTGTGTCTGACCTCCTACTGTGAGACTCACCTGGAGCCTCATCTGAAAAAGTCAGTACTGAAAAGACATCAGCTGATCGACCCTGTGGAGAACCTGGAAGACAGGATGTGTCCGAAGCACGATAAACCTCTGGAGCTGTTCTGTAAGACCGACCAGACATGTGTCTGTATGCTCTGCCATTTCTCAGACCACAAGATGCATGATGTTGTTCCTCTCAAAGAAGAATATGAAGATAAGAAGGCAGAGTTGGGGAAGACAGAGGCTAAAATTCAGCAGATGATCCAGAGGAGACGACTGAAGATTCAGGAAATCAAACACTCAGTCGACCTCACGGAGAAAGATGCAGACAGAGAGGTAGCAGAACTTGTTCAGGTCTTTACTGCTCTGAAGGAGTCTGTTGAGAGACTCATCAACACTATCAAAGAGAAGCAGAAAGAAACTGAAAAGAAGGCTGAAACTTTAATCAAAGAACTGGACCTAGAAATCTCTGAGCTGAAGAAGAGAAGTGCAAAGGTTGAACATCTATCGCGTTCTGAAGACCACCTCCATGTTCTCCAGAGTGTCAAGACCCTAAACATCCAACACCCATCACCCACCAAGGACTGGACAAAGGTCATCATCCCTCCACCATCATATGAGGGGAATGTGGAAAAAGCTGTGGCTCAGCTGGAGGAGACACTCACTGAACTGAGGAAACTGCTTGAGGCTAAGCTGAAGGATGTCCAGAAGTACGCAGTAAATGTGACTCTTGATCCTGATACAGCACATCCCAATCTCATCCTGTCTGGTGGTGGAAAACGAGTCAGTCTTGGTGATGTGACAAAAAATCTTGCATACAACCCAAAAAGATTTCATTATTCCGTTTGTGTTTTAGGGAAGCAGAGTTTCTCTTCAGGAACATTTTACTATGAGGTTCAAGTTAAAGGAAAGACTGACTGAGAATTAGGAGTGGTCACAGAGTCCATAAACCGGATGGGGAAAATCAGACTGAGCCCTCAGAGGGGTATCTGGATAGCCTGGTTGAGAAATGGAAATGAGTACAAAGCTCTTGATGATCCTCCAGTCAGTCTCTCTCTGAAGTCTCAGCCTCAGAAGGTGCGGGTGTTTGTGGATTATGAGGAGGGTCTGGTCTCCTTTTATGACGTAGATACTGCAGCTCTGATCTACTCCTTTACTGGCTGCTCATTCACTGAGAAACTCTTCCCATACTTCAGTCCGTGTGTGAATGATGGGGGTCAAAACTCTGCACCTCTGATCATCTCTCCTGTCAGAGTAAACTAATCACGTTTGCTTTATTGATTTATTCCCATTCAAGGTAATAAACAAACATATTTAGTATAAAAACTATAGTTTTCATCTTATTTTCTACAGAATCTGTTTACTGTGTGGATTGGTTCACAGACAATTGTTAAGATATTTGATATTATGTATCCCATTACATAGTCAACACTATAAATTGATGCATTTGTCTTTGTGGAGAATGAATATCCAGTCGAACCTCTGATAAAGCCACGAACATTATTTTTCGCTTCCAGAATAAATCACTTTTTGTTATGAAATATGTCACATTTGAATGTTGCTAAATTACTTTAAAGCAAAGTCATTTTATTATTTGATGTGCAGCCAAAAAAACATGTCATTAAGGTTATGCCTATTCCATGCCTTCACTATATAGAGAACACAGTTTTTGTTATAGTTATTCTAGCATATAAACATTTTGTGTCAAATGAAATTAAAGTATACAGTACATGCCAACGTAATTTTCTTTTTTTGTAGGAAAGGTGGTTTGGCTAATTACTAATAACTTGGTGTAACTAATCTGTAAATATGTGACTGTTAAATCAAAACTGTAAAGTAAACTAGTTATTGAACATAAGGCTGGTTTACACTTAAGTTGTTTTTTTTATGACAAATGCATTGTGTTTCCTGTAAACCCTTCATCAACCCAGCACAGGGATGATGGACTCTGCCACCAAGAAGACTCATCTGTCTTTCTTTTTTAATTAAAACATTTCAAGAATTGTACCAATCATTAAAGGATATCAGACAAGGCAAATATGTGTTCATGTATACTGAGTTTCATTGGTTAAAAGGCAAAGACAACACAATTAATGTGAAGTGTAAATCAAAGTAAGAATGGGTAGCGTTATATCATCTGAAAAAAACAAACATTTTAAATAGTTAATTTAAAGATATTGTAAAAATAATGCTGGTGTTATTTTATCCATTACTAATCTATTAGCTGGTTGTACTTCAGTAACACCGGCGTCCATGTACACCACTTCCTGGTGTTCTGGCGCTGAGTGTCCACTGGATGGAGCACAACACAAAGGAGAGATAAGCATGGAGTCACTGTACTGTAAACCAAACACTGATATATGAGGAGACACAGTTTGTTACACATGTACAGGATGACCACACATGTTGACCAAGGACAACAGTTGTTTTAAATGGTGGTCTATTTAATAGTCCAACAATGGCCATACTTTATTTTTTGAATTTATCCTTACTTGTTGAACAGTATAAAAACAGTTGCTCGATAAATGTGTCAAACATTTTCTGTTAGAGATAAAAAAAAACGAGTGGATCTTTTACGTGATATAACAACAGTTTATATTTATGGATTAATCCTAAAAATGCATTAATTATATTTTTAATTGTTTGCTTTCCAGGCACATCACAACACCGACATCTAGTAAATCTGATAAAGGTCCATCTCATCTTATCTTAGTCGTAATCAATTCAAATAGCAGTAAAATACCACAATTCTCATTAGGTGATTCAATACCACAGTAAAAAAAAACTATAAAGATTGAGCTGCAGTTAGGAAGTTCAGGTCATTATTCCCTTTTTAACATCCTACTTTTGCTCCAATACTCATTGTGAATTTGATGTATAATAGTGTAACTCAATATGAGCCCTGCTCTGGTACCTGCAGTGCTTTATAAAAAGTCCCACTACGTTTTTTTTATTTTGGCATCAACGTGGTACAGAAGAACAGCTCTGTGCTACCCCTCAAAACGTTTACTCAATAAATTAATTTGGCACGTGCCACACACACCTCATGCTAAACCACGCAAATTCTTGTGAGTCACCAAAATCAAGTCCTAACAACAAGAATACAATACTCTTAAGACCGGCAGGAAGGGGTAGAGCAATCCAGGAAAGAGGAGGGCTACAACCAGGGTTCGAGTTATAATCTGAGTTTTATGGGGGTCTTTAAAACTAACGCAAGTGCACGCATGCACGCATGCCCGCACGCAGCAGCAGCCCTCTACTTGCTACAAACCCTGTTCCACTCTGAGCCTGTTTTTCAGGTCTCAGGCTCGAAAATGACATTCCCAGAACAAATGACCATATCTTCCCTTCTAAAAGGGTTAAATTAATAATCTTTTCTCAAAGTAATGATAAACCTGTGAGTTGGATGTAGAAGTGTCAGAATCAATATAAATGTTTTTTATTTTAAAGAAAATTCAGATTTTACATAGTAAAAAACTGTAAATTATAGTGTCCGTCCAAAAATTATTTTTTACAGATAGTGAAAACTACCCTTGGATGATGGGTTAGTAGACTAAAAGCTTTAGGAATCCAAAGTACAACATATAATAAGTACCCTGTATCAAGATTGATGCAAAACAAGTGAAATTTGACCTTTTTAGAGAGATTTAGCCAAAAACTGGGCCATCTGGGGTCATTTGGGTGGATTTGACCTATCTCTGGCCCCCCTTGCTCGATCTGGTTGGTTGACATACCCTTGTGACCGTTAGAGCCAATACAATCGAAGGAGGATACTCACATACACATACATTGTAAAGAAAAAATGTTGCCGCTTCGCGTGTGGAAAGCGAAACTAAACTGGAGGAATGTCTCCTTCTGGAGTTTGGAAACTAAAACGCAGTTGTATTGCTTATGGATTATCAGAAATAATTTCAAAGAAGGCACAGACACATAGGATGAACCTATGGATTAACTGCAGCATCGTTTTTTTATCGTTTTAATGCCATTGAAGACCACTTTTGACCAAGGTAAGCCATATTTATATGTTTAGCTTCTTGGCTCCACATGTGATGATGTACGCTTTCGTTGATAGCGTCTCGAATGTTTATCACTGAGTGTTGAGGTGGGCACCGTTAGATTCAGTGTCTCCAGGACACCAAAAAATAGTGTTTGGTTGTGCATCTAGGATAAGTAATAAGGGAGTTCTGAGTGAGTTTATGTGCCTTAGTCGGTCCCGTTTTTTCGATCGAGGCTAATTCAGAGGCTGAGTGCTAGCATTGTGGGTTTTTTTTGAAAAAAAAATTAAAAAGATCAGTTAGCTGAGTTTCTTCCCGTTACATGGATATAACACATTCATAGTTTTATTCAATATTAAGATTCCTTAGACGTTGTTTCCTGCAAATGACGCGTTTATCCGCCCGGTACCGGGGGGAAGGCGTGAAACAGGTTTTAAAGGGGACCTATCATGCAAAATGCACTTTTGTACGTCTTTTATACATGAATATGTGTCCCCGGTGTTCCAGGGAACTCACCAAGTGTCAGAAAACACAACCCTCTCTATTTTCCTCCATACCCAAATCTCTAAAAAAGGGGCTGCAACGGATCTGATAAAAACTGATCCAGATTTGAACACTGTCCTGACATCAGGACGGTGGCGCTACGGCTATTGAGCCAACTCCACCAATCAGGAGGAGACAGCCACGGCCATTGCCGTTCGAAAGCGCTGGAGACGCTGAAGTACATATGCCAGGCCTGTAGATGGTGCTGTTCTCACTGAATCTGCCCTTGCAAAAACAGAGCTAAAAAATGTCAAATTGAGCAAAATGAGGCATGGCTAAAATGCATGATCTGTTTGGTATTTTGAAAAAAAAAAAGTATAAATATGCCTTATATAGGTATGGTCCTACACTATATTATTATAATATAGCATGATAGGTCCACTTTAAATATGAAAAGTTTCAACTACGCACACCACATAACACATCTCGGCTTGCGAAGCCCGTTCACATGCATAGATTGCGCAATCATTTATTTGGAGGTGAAGTGCAGGCATATTGTCATTCAAGAGAGAATACGATGCGTAGTTCTTTTGGAAAACATGTTTTTGTTTTAGCCTATTTACCTCGTTAACATTGACATTGTGATTAAAATAATGGTTGTTGGTAATCTATTAGCGACCCCCACATATGTATGTTTTCATTGCTTTCATAGGAGCTCAGACCCCTCCTTATGGGAGCTCAGCTCCCATTGGCTCCCACATAACTAGAACCCTGGCAACAACGTAACACCCCAGAAAGTTAAGTTTGTAAAGCCCCTTTCACACCAACGCGGTTCCAGGGCCAGTTCGGAGCTGGAGCTTGAAAAGCACCGGTTTTTCCCACACCGCAGCGGAGCCGCCTCTAAGCTCCGGAATCCGGTTCGTTTCAAGCACCAAAAAGTTGTCGGCCTAGAAAGCAAGCACCGCATACGTCACGCTTACGTCGGAAGATCTGGGCTGTGTCCAAATAACACACAACATCCGCCTTTCCGCCAGCTTCAACATGATCTGTGGAAATAACATTGAGAATCAGTTTTAATGTTATACCATAGTAATTAATGCTGCAAAGCTGGGTATTTTGAGCTTGGCGCATGCAGAGGCTAACAACAGCTAGCTCTAACGCCATCGAATAGGACGCATATTTACCTTCTTTCTCCTACGGAATCGTCGTTGAAGTTGATGATGATGATTGTAAATAACTTTTGAATGTAGCATGTAACGACTGTAAAGTTGGTAGTAAAGTTGTCCCATTTGTTCCATTTCGTTTCGACAGAGCAAAACCAAAACGAGTAGCGCTTCAATACAATCGGCAGGCACGCAAACGGTTACGTCATGACGCAAACGATGACGCAATGACGCAGCACCAGTCGGGCTCTGAGCGGTGTGAACAGAGCGGGAGCTGAACCGAAGAACCGGTTCCGAACCAGAAAAGCTCTAGCACGGAGCTAGAACGGGAAAAGCGTTGGTGTGAAAGGGGCATAAGAGAGGCAGCCACACCGAAGTCGAGGCAAGTTTCTTTGTTTCTCTCAAAGAAAATACAAACTGAGTTCATCAGATCCTTCTCAACAACAAAGCAGAGGTTCTGTCAAACACTGGTGAGTACAGCTGATTATATTGACCCTGTCAACAAGCAAGATTAACACAAAACTTTAGCTCTACTCAGGTGAAGGCTCCACTCTTAATGTAATACTTCGGAAAGTGTTAACAAGATAACAACGGCTATCTGTCCTCAGGGTAACTATACAGT